CAGCTGTGTACCTGTGGCTTTGGTCCAGTTCCCAAGGAAGCTTATTCCTGGGTTGAGAGGAAGAGGACAGGAAGCCAGGGGCTAGCCATGAGACCCACTTCCCTCTTAGCTCCCTGGCCTCGTCACCTTGAACTGCTGTCCCTTTCCCCTGAGTTGGGGCCAGGCGGGCAGGACACTGTGGGCAAGGTCAGTGTGCTTCCGACCCAGAGCACTGAAGTCAGATCAGGCCCCAGGAGCGCAGCTTTCACATGAGGGGCGAAGACGATGCTCCTCACTCGGTCACGCCGTAACCTTGTCAGCGAGAGAAAGCGTGACGATAGCAGTAGTTCCTATTCCGCACCCTGCCTCTGTGCTGGGTGCCTCACACAGTTCGCTGCTGATCCTCACAGCCATAGGACAGATGGTGCAATGTCATTTGACCAAAGAGGAAACTGAGGCACAGAAAGGTGAAATAACTTGGCCAGGACCCCCAGAGTCAGGCCAGAGCAAAGCTTGCCTGGCTTCAGGGAGTATCTGCCTTTATTCCTTGTTTGTCTCTGCCACGTAAACTAGCAATGTCACCCTTTATCCAGCCCCTCAGAGGAAGCCATGAGAGAAACAGAGGTGGCATCAGCAGGTGGGGAAGTGAAGGCACCCAGCCTAATGTTCCCAAGGGGCCAGGAGCAGAACCGAGATGACAATCTAGGCTTCCTTGACCTCTGAGGTGACCCCCTCTGCCCACACAGGTGTGAACAGGTGGAGTTAGGTTGTTCCCATGGAAACTTGGCCATTGTGACCAAAGCCAAGGGCTTAAAAAGAAGCCAGTATAGTTTCAAGTCCAGTTTCACTAACATCTGCTTTAGAGTCACTCAGGGGGAACCACCCCTCATGGGGTGCACGTCACCCTAGAGTTTGCAAAGCTCTTTCTCATGCATTCTACAGTTTGGCTCAACAACCAATGGGGTAGGGATTATTTTCTCCATTTTACAGGTAAGGAGCCTGAGGCCCCAGATGGTGACCTGTGGCCCTCCGAACATAAAACCCCTTGTGTGCAGCCTTAAGAACAGGCACCTTTACAAGCGGCAAGATGATGAACTCACAGGGCCACGTGCATCTGAACCTGCTCAGCCCAGAGCACTAATGAGTTGTGGGCAGGCAGAGGCTTAGGCACAACCGGCCCCTGGGTCAAGGGTGACGCCAGGACCTGAATGGGGCGGGTTGCTCAGGGAGCCCCAGGAAGCTCTGGCCTGGAAGCCACTGCCAGGCCTCTCTTCCAGGACACTAATTGAGCCTGAGCTGGGTCAGAGGGGCCACGGTATCCCACCAGAGCTGGTGCTTGGGGCCAGGCAGGGGGCGAGCAGCCTTTGTCTCTTCGTCTCTGACCTCGGAGCACAGGGCTGCACGAGGTTGCCCCTCGGGACCTGGAATCTGAGCTAATGAGGCTGGACCCAGACCAGCTGGGGCTGCTGCAACATCAGTAGCAGGGAATGGGTAGCCTGAGGCTTCCTCTAAGCCCAGCACTCTGGGTCCCCACGGGGACTATGAGCGTGCAACAGGTGTCTTTTTTGTGCTGTTAAGTGTGCCAGGGTGACAGGTGTAAGCAGGGACTGAGGCATGGTCATCCCCATCTCAAACACAAACCAAGGACCAGAGACTGTGACTGCCCAGACTCCACTAGCCAGCATCAGGCCAAGAATCCAGATCTGATGTCAGTTTTCGCTCCTGTCCCCTGGCAGACTATATGTTTTAATGACAGTAGTTATTGGGTTGTTGGAAAAGTCATTATTGTGTGGGCCCTTTATCAGGCTGAGGAAGTTTTCTTCTGTTCCTGGGCTGCCAGGAGTTTTTATAATAAATGAATGTTAAATTTTGTTGAATGTTTTTTCTATGTCTATCGAGCTACTAATATAGTTTTTCTTGTTTAGTGTTTTGATATGGTGAATTATACTAATTGATATTCAGATATTGAACCAACTCTGTATTTCTGGACTAACCCCCACTTGTTCATGCTGTATTAATTTAAAATTCATTTTGCTAAAACTTTGTGAAGAATTTTTGCATCTATGTTCATTAGTCTAAATTTTTCTTTTAACACATCTGTTTTGGTCTCAGGTAATGTTATTGTCTTAAAAATAGGTTGGGAATATTATATCCATATTAAGTATTACTGGTTTATCAGATGTTGGACACTATGAATTTCATGTTGCAAAGAACTCAAACTTAGTCTTTAAAAAGCATCAGATTTTGTTTTAGTACGCAGTTAGGTTTCTTACAGATCATTCTAATCCTTTTTCATGCAGCCTCATTTTTCAATTCAGTTAAGGTGCGTTTAGAGCACCCCTTAACTGAGCTGTTTAGGTCTATTGCTAGGACACGACCTTGCTGGAGACTCTCCGTTCTAACTGGTCAGAACTTGAATGTTTTCCCACCTGTGTAAACTTTGGAAATTGAACAATCTCAATTTGAAGCTTACAGCTCCCTGGTCATTCTTTACTGAGCCTGTGGAGTTTTGCCTTCAATATGTACATTTTGGGATTTAGCAACAATTTAAATCCAAAATACGAAGGATTTGTATGAGATTTTCAGAGCTCTTTCTCTGGTTAGCTTCTTTTTCTCTGGTTCTCTGCGCCAAAAATTTCAGCTGCCTCTGCCTCCTCAAATGCCAGTCCGTCACCTCAGTTGAGAGGATTCACTAAGCTCTCCTTGGGGTCCTCGTTCCCACAGTGCAGTCTGAATAGTGCCCCGATGGGGTCACCATGGGGTCCACTTTATTTGTTTCCCTTGTCTCCGGAATCACAGTCGAGAGCTGCCTACTGCCTAATGTCTGAAAAGAGGTATTTCCTCTCTTCCGCCTAGGTCTCTGGTGTTTATGGGGGGAGGCTAAGTCCAGCCTCAGTAACTTCAACATGGCCGGGAGGGGTGGTCTCCCTTTCCTCACTGTAGTCCTTTCTTTCCATCACATCTCTGTCAGCCACATGGACCCTCTCATCCCCAAACCTGGGCACACTGGAGGGGAGGAAGACGTGAGGGACTGGGAAATGGCCAAGTCCTGTCTGCCTTCAGGCGGCTCCTTCTTCACACCCCACCTACTTCCTCCTTCCTACTTAGGTGCCCTGGGAGCACCAAGCCTGGTTTAGCCGTTCAAATCTAAAGAATTAAAACCAGTAAGTTTGGATCATTTTGTGTCAAACACTGATCTTGGTTCTCTTTTAAGAATCATTTTTTAGGGGCCAGACAGTGATATGGTGTAACACGATGTTCTGTAATGCTGGACCGCATGGGAAGGTCCCAGGCTCATGTCCCGGGGCCTCTCTGAACACACAGGCCCACTTGCATGCCCAAGATCCAGGATAGTGCAGGCTGGGCGGATGGTGGCGTGAAGGCCTACTGAGAGTCTCTCTCTCTCTTTCTGTACACACATGAAAAGGTAAATAAACATCGAAGTCATTTTTTAAATCCCCAAATCTCTTAGGAGTGAAGCTACCAGGATTTATTTAACAGTCTCTGTGCTAGGGCCATGCGAGTGATTTCACACACATGATCCCACGTAATACTCACCGGAGCCCTGTGATGTTACTGCTAGCCTCCCGTTACAGACGAGGAAATAGTGACTGGTTGAGTGTTCACGGTCCCACAGCTAAGACGTGCAGGAGCCCGTGCTCTCTCCCCCATAGCATACCAGCCCATCCAATGCCCAGCCTGGGAGCCTGGAGGCCCGTCTACCCAACAAGCCATTCTCCCCTACCCTGAGCCAGCTTTCCAACTCCAGGGCTCTGCTGCCCCAGGAGGGGCACTGGAGAGAAGGAGGGGAAGTTAAGGGCTTCTCTGATTCTGTGACCCCCCTCATCTGCCAGCCCGGCTTTTAGCACTGTGCCCTAAGGAGCCCTTGCCTATCCATAATCCCCTTGTGACCAACTTAGTTAATTCCAGTTCCTGCACTCACACCTCGGGCAGACCGCAGGTCACAGGCCTCATCCTGCCCCTGCCCCTTCTCTGGCCCCCAGGGGAGGGGACTTGTGAGGGTCTGAGAATTACCAGAGCTCACAGCTGAGAACTGAGTGCATCCCTGGGGAAGTTCCCAGGACCCCAGGAATCCCTGGGGAACCACAATCCCCAGGGCCTGTACCAAGTTCCGGCCACTAATGACAAAGAAATCCTCATCAGTTCAGGGTAGTGGGCCTATCCAGCTCAGCTGTGTACCCGTGGCTTTGGTCCAGTTCCCAAGGAAGCTTATTCCTGGGTTGAGAGGAAGAGGACAGGAAGCCAGGGGCTAGCCATGAGACCCACTTCCCTCTTAGCTCCCTGGCCTCGTCACCTTGAACTGCTGTCCCTTTCCCCTGAGTTGGGGCCAGGCGGGCAGGACACTGTGGGCAAGGTCAGTGTGCTTCCGACCCAGAGCACTGAAGTCAGATCAGGCCCCAGGAGCGCAGCTTTCACATGAGGGGCGAAGACGATGCTCCTCACTCGGTCACGCCGTAACCTTGTCAGCGAGAGAAAGCGTGACGATAGCAGTAGTTCCTATTCCGCACCCTGCCTCTGTGCTGGGTGCCTCACACAGTTCGCTGCTGATCCTCACAGCCATAGGACAGATGGTGCAATGTCATTTGACCAAAGAGGAAACTGAGGCACAGAAAGGTGAAATAACTTGGCCAGGACCCCCAGAGTCAGGCCAGAGCAAAGCTTGCCTGGCTTCAGGGAGTATCTGCCTTTATTCCTTGTTTGTCTCTGCCACGTAAACTAGCAATGTCACCCTTTATCCAGCCCCTCAGAGGAAGCCATGAGAGAAACAGAGGTGGCATCAGCAGGTGGGGAAGTGAAGGCACCCAGCCTAATGTTCCCAAGGGGCCAGGAGCAGAACCGAGATGACAATCTAGGCTTCCTTGACCTCTGAGGTGACCCCCTCTGCCCACACAGGTGTGAACAGGTGGAGTTAGGTTGTTCCCATGGAAACTTGGCCATTGTGACCAAAGCCAAGGGCTTAAAAAGAAGCCAGTATAGTTTCAAGTCCAGTTTCACTAACATCTGCTTTAGAGTCACTCAGGGGGAACCACCCCTCATGGGGTGCACGTCACCCTAGAGTTTGCAAAGCTCTTTCTCATGCATTCTACAGTTTGGCTCAACAACCAATGGGGTAGGGATTATTTTCTCCATTTTACAGGTAAGGAGCCTGAGGCCCCAGATGGTGACCTGTGGCCCTCCGAACATAAAACCCCTTGTGTGCAGCCTTAAGAACAGGCACCTTTACAAGCGGCAAGATGATGAACTCACAGGGCCACGTGCATCTGAACCTGCTCAGCCCAGAGCACTAATGAGTTGTGGGCAGGCAGAGGCTTAGGCACAACCGGCCCCTGGGTCAAGGGTGACGCCAGGACCTGAATGGGGCGGGTTGCTCAGGGAGCCCCAGGAAGCTCTGGCCTGGACGCCACTGCCAGGCCTCTCTTCCAGGACACTAATTGAGCCTGAGCTGGGTCAGAGGGGCCACGGTATCCCACCAGAGCTGGTGCTTGGGGCCAGGCAGGGGGCGAGCAGCCTTTGTCTCTTCGTCTCTGACCTCGGAGCACAGGGCTGCACGAGGTTGCCCCTCGGGACCTGGAATCTGAGCTAATGAGGCTGGACCCAGACCAGCTGGGGCTGCTGCAACATCAGTAGCAGGGAATGGGTAGCCTGAGGCTTCCTCTAAGCCCAGCACTCTGGGTCCCCACGGGGACTATGAGCGTGCAACAGGTGTCTTTTTTGTGCTGTTAAGTGTGCCAGGGTGACAGGTGTAAGCAGGGACTAAGGCATGGTCATCCCCATCTCAAACACAAACCAAGGACCAGAGACTGTGACTGCCCAGACTCCACTAGCCAGCATCAGGCCAAGAATCCAGATCTGATGTCAGTTTTCGCTCCTGTCCCCTGGCAGATCCCCCACCCCCTACTTGCCATGGTAATAATCTTGCTCATTAACCAAGCACTCACCTCAGGCCAGACCTGGTGCTAAGCTCTTTACATTCATTATGTCATTAAATTCTCATAATATAAGGAAATGGGACACAGAGAGGCTGAGTGACTTGTCCGAAGTCACGTAGACAGGAATATTCGACAGTCCAAGAGAGAGAAGAGTGAAGTGGAATCTGGCCAGCTGAGAAAAATGCTACCTACCAGATGGGAGAGAGTGGGTCAAGTGTGGAGAAGTGCTAATCCTGGAGGACTTTCTAAAGGAGGCATCCTCTGCCTAGCAGAGGTGCTGGTACAGAAGACCACCACACAGCCTCCAAGCTCAGCCACCTCTCTCCCTCCCCTCCATCACTCTCAGGCCTCCAGCAGCTTGCAGAAGAATGCACGTTCCAGGTTCAGTATCCAAACCTGGAGGGTTGAGATCTGCGTTTCCACGGCAACCGTATCCTTAACAGCATCCAATAAGGACATTATTTGGCCGCAGTAAGTACACATGATCTTTTGATTACCGCCAAAGGTATTGAGAGGAAGCCCGCCCCTTCTCCAAGAGCCCCCACGCCTCCTTGGAAAAACAGATGCTGCCTCCCCACAAAAAGTGGGGAGATGGAATGGAGGGAAAGGCCTTGTACAAGAAAGGGAAAATGGGAAAAAGATCAATGTTTGCATTAATGCAGTTGCCTGTTCAGCGTTTCTCCTCTTTTATAGATTTAGATAACATGCTCATCAGGGATATCTTCATTTCCCAGAGTGAAGAAATTAATTACTCACTAATGGCGCAATTCAGAAATTAATTTGTGCTACCATCTCAAATATGTCGTTATTAATCAATTGATAGCTGGGAGCTGGCAGGGGGAGGTGTCCGCTAGGGTGTGAGATGTTGGGGTTGACCTATTTTTGATGGGCAGTTTCAGAGGCTAGACTGGGGCCACTCAGAGGTAGGGACTAGGGTTGCAGGCCCAAAAGTGGGGACCTGCGATGTTGTGAGAAAAGCACTAGGTAGGGAGTCAAATGGCTTAAAATCTAGGGGACTTTGGGCAAGTCCCTCTGGATCTCAGTTTTCCAGTCTGTTCAGGAAGGAGGGTTGAACTTGAGCAGCAATGTCCAAACCTCCTACAACTGCAGATTTCATTCAATAAGCCCCTATGCAGAATACCCCCATCAAGAAGAAAGGGCTGCGGGGCCGGCAGGTGGCGTGGTGGATAAAAGCACTGGACTCCCACATGGCTGACCATGGTTCAAGTCCCAAACCTGGCAGCTTGCTTTCTCGCTTTCCCTCTCTCTCTCTCTCTCACTCTGCCCCTCTCTGGTCAAATTAAAATATATAAATAAATAAAAGTTAAATAAAATAATCCTAAAAAAAAAAAGAAAAAGAAGAAGAAGAAAGGGCCTGGATGGGGAAGGGAGGCCTAAAGCCCTCAGTCCTGCTCCCCTCTCCCGTTTTATGGTCCCGAGGACTCTGCAGAGCACAGGTAGACACCGTTTGTGGGAAGGGGTCTATGACTAGCCATGAATCCTGGGTTCTCTGGAGTGAGGGTCTCAGGGCAGTGTCCCTGGTCCCCCTTTTCCCCTACATGCTGACCAATACCCAGTTTCACTTGTACTACAGACTCTCAGCGCTGTGTCCATCTTACTCAGTTCTGCAACTTCAGTGCCTGGAACAGGACCTGGACTACATGGGAGTCCAGCGACATAGCCATTACGCTAACTGCTGGTTCCCATTAAGTGTTTAATGTATGAATAATGGTTTGGCGTTAGACAACTGGGATGGGGAAGGTTGACCAGATGGGAGGCCATCATGAAAGCAGATGGAGAGCCTGGTGGAGTCTGGTCTGGGGTGGGGTGGGGACACGAAGGGGCGAAGGGGACTGCAGGGGTTAAAGGTCAGATTGGGGCTGGGGTGGGGGAAGGTTGGTGATGGGAATCAGACACCCAGGAGGTGCTAGGGCAGGGATATGCGGTGGTAGTTGCAGCATGCTGACCTGACCAGGTCTGCTCCCTGTGCTCTCACACACTGCCTCAGTTAATCCTCACCCCAACCCCATGAGATCGGTTACTATTATTTATCAGCTGTGCAGATGAATGCTGCTCAGGGCCACTGAGCTGCCAGAGCAGAGCCACTTTTGAGTCCAGACACCCTGGGTCTAACACCCATGCGCTCACACACCACCACCACCAGCTCCATGTAGAGGCTGGGTGATTGTCTACTGTTCTTGGGGAGACTTTTTTCCCTTACCGTGTCATGGTCCTCCTGCCTCCCAGCTGGGACTACACAGCTGGGGCCACCACCCAGATCTTTCGGGCAGAGTCTTGCTGTATTGCCCAGGCCAGCCCCAAACTCATGGTTCTCCTGCCTCATCTTCCCCAGTCTCTGGAACTGCAGGTGTACATCACCATGCCTGGCCTTTTGGTTGGACTGGGAAGCAAACCTGGGCCTCCCATGTGATCCGGCCTGTGGAACAGAGTCTTAGCAGTCCTCACTGCTGCAGCAGGGCCTCCCTGTGACACTTCCAGTCCCCATATGCATTATTCTTGACCATGCTTGATCCTATGAGGTGGGCAGAGTGCACACCATCATTGCCTCAGAGAGGCCAAACCAGTGCCAAACAGGCCTTCTGGCATCCCGGCTGGTGGTCGTTGGGTGGGATGGGAGGATGGCCCTGCCCTAGAGAGTGGGGTCACCTCACCCTGCCCCTGGCTGGATCAAAAGGCCAAAGAACCTGAACTGTGTGCAGGCACCCTCCTTGGTCTGACAGCGGTCCAGAAGAGCTACAGATACAGGTGACGTCAGAGGGACAACTCATCATTTGATAGCTACAGAACTGGGTACCAGAAGGGGAAGGGCTGACCTGGATCACACAACACATGAAGACAAAGGCTCACTTGGGGGCAACCCTGAGAGAGGACGTACACCTGCAGGATGTCATGCCCTGTAAGGCAGGGCCTCTCTGCCCATGCCCACTCGGGGTGGGTCTTGCTGGGAACTGGAGCATGGGAAGGATGCCCTCAGGCTCTGGGAAGGCCTAGGACGAGGATGCTGTGACTTGTACATGGAAGTGGCAGGTGAGCTGACTGGGAATAGCAGGATCAGAGATGGTTTCCAGGGTGATCTGTGGGCTTGGGAGAAGCAGGGAGCGAGCTGCATGGTAGAAGAGGGACTTCTCGGCCCCAGCTTTGCTCCTCTGCCCAGGAAAGAGCCTTGGGCTCCTCTTATAAACCGACATGTGCAGCCATTTCCACCTGCCATTCTTCTCAGTCTTGGACACCGACCTCATTCATAGATGAGAAAACTGAGGCCCAGAGAGGGCAGGAGCTGGCCAGGAGCCTCCCAGGTAGGCACAGAGCTGAGTGCCGGGAAGGAGGGGGCTGTGGAACGCACGGGAAAGGGGTGGAGGTGAAAAAGTGCCCCGAGTGATCTCCCGGCGACACTGACCACCTAGAGTCACTCTCCCCAAGGCAAGCAGTCATGACAGTCCTGACAGCAATGACATGCACAGTGGCTCATGCCTGGCCTAGACAGGGTCTTCCAGGTCTGGGACCAGGATGGCTATGACCTGGTCCCAGCTCAGCCCCTGGGAGACCTTAGACAAGTGAGTTCTTGCTCCCTCTTCAGTAAAACGGGATTAAATCCCTCAGGTCTGGTGAGAAGACTCCAACAAGAGGTCTCAGGTGAAGGGTTTGGCGAACTGGAAAAGCCAGGCAAATATCCATTAGTGCTTTCGGGTCGGCAAGTTTCTAGCCTTCATAGGCAACCTCTGAATGTCCAGAGTCACCACCTCTGGCCTCCACCAAGCAGCTACATGATATGGGCCTACTATGTGACAGCTTTGTCACCACACCAGGGCCCACAGTGCAGCCAGCTAAAGGCAGCAATCTGTCTATAGCTATTTCCTCCAGTAGCTGCACGCTAACTGCTGGTCCCCAAAAAATCTATTCATTATTTTTTAATTTGCTGTAGAGCACATGGGCTCACCAGAAAGAGTAAGATAGAGAAGGAAAGAAGAAAACAAGAAAGAAGAAAAAGAAAAAGAAAGAGAAAAAGAGAAAGGAAGAGAAAAAAGAGAAAGAAAGAAGAAAGAGGAAAGAGAGAAAGAAAGAAAGAAGAAAGGGAAAGAAAGAAAAAAAAGAAAAAGAAAGAAAGAAAAAGAAGAAAGAAAGGAAGAAAAAAGAAAGAACAAGAAGGAAAGAAAGGAAAAGAAGGAAAGAAAGAAAAAAGAAAGAAGACCAAAAAAGAAAGAAAGAAAGGGACCAGCAGTTAGCGTAATGGCTATGTCACTGGACTCCCACGTAGTCGACTGCGGTTCGCGTCCCGAACCTGGTGGCTTAAACTCACGCCGGGCGCGTGTGCGTGCGTGCCCAAGATCCCAAGAGGAGAATGGAGGAGAAGGGATTGCATCGTGGCCATCCCCCCTGGGGGGTGATTTCTCGCTTTCTGTCTCTCTGTCTCTCTCTGGCTGGCTGGCGAGCGCACACGCCCTATAGCAAAAACCTCTTAAAAAAAAAAAAAGAAAAGAAAAGAAAAGAAAGAAAGAAAAAGAAAGCACGCTGTCAGGTCCAGGGCTTGAATCATGATTAGCCATGTGAGAATCTAGCACCTTAACCACCATGCCACCTGCTGGACCCTCCATGAACTTTTTTTTTTTTTTTTTCTTTTTTTTTTTTTAAGAGGTTTTTGCTATAGGGCGTGTGCGCTCGCCAGCCAGCCAGAGAGAGACAGAGAGACAGAAAGCAAGAAATCAGCCCCCAAGGGGGATGGCCATGCCACAATCCCTTCTCCTCCACTCTCCTCTCAAGATCTTGGGCACGCACGCACACACACCCAACATGAGTTTAAGCCGCTGGGTCTGGGACTCGAACTGAGGTTAACTACATGGGAGTCCAGCGACATAGCCAACTGCTGGTCTCCCATCCATGAACTTTCTGAAGTCCCATCTATATACTCACTTACCCTCACCCTGGCCATAAACGTGAACTCAGACAACAGGAGCAAGAAACATAATCGCTTCTTTTTTCTGGGGAAGGAAGAAAACTTGGGCGTAAGAATCCCTCCACCCTACTCTTCCCTCTCTCCTTCCCAGTCCCCTGCAGTTTCCCCAGTGACCTGGAGATGGCTCTCCTCTGGCAGCACCCAGGACCACTTCCTGCCCCTCACCATCCCTGGCCAGCTGGGAAGGATCAGGAAAGTTCTTCTTCTGGTCAGGATGTGAGCTGAGGGCCCAAGAAGCCCTGACCAATTCTACCCTTCAATACTCGGAGTCCCGTGGTTAAACCAGATGTCCTCCATGGTTACCTCATCACCAACCTACCCCTGCATCTCCTCACCCTCCAACAAGTCCTTCTCGCAGTCCTTCCCATCCCATCTCTCTCTGACCCTGTCTCACATACCCATCTGTCTCTCTGTAACTCTGTGGCTTTGTGTCTAGGACTCTCTTTGCTCCGAGGTCTCCCTTCTCTATGGCTCTTTTGACTTTGTCTCCAGCCTGGGCAGGAAGTACATGATCTACTGGGTGCTGCCTACACAGTCTGGACACCTTCCAGCCAGCCGGAGGCTAAGAGGGCAACACTCAGGTCCTCCTGACAGAAGCCCGTGTGTGATACTGGATGGAGGGGGACTGGGAGAGGATGAGTGTATGTGAGTGGATCTACAGGGGTTACCAGACCCCTATTGTCCTCTCCTACTCCCCACAGGCAAGATTTCCCCAGCAGAGGGGCAACAGGGGCATGGTGGTTAGCAGGCTTGGCCAGACACTGTTGTGTTGGTACAACCTATTTAACTGTATGCAGCACCCATTGTTGGGTAGACACCATTACTTTTTTTTTTTTTTGGAGATCATTTTATTTAATTTTATTCATCATTATTATTATTACTTTTTAAGAGAGAGAGGAGAGACCAGAGAGAAGAGACGAGAGACAAGAGAAAAGTGAGAATGCAAGCCACCAGGGATTTGAACCATAATCAATCATAAGGGAATCCAGTACCTTAACCACCATGCCACCTGCCAGTCCCACCATTACTTCTAACTGAGTTGAGTTAGGTTGGATTGGATAGAAAAGAGTGTGTCTGCATGTGAAAGGAGTTAAGACATAATGGGTTCAAATGACAGTGGGCTGCTAGGCTTGGTTGGGTTCAGTCTGGCTTGAGCAGGATTGGAGAATCAACCCTCTGAGAGACTGGTGGGGGTTCAGTTTTTGTTTATAGAGACATACAGACCTGGGGACACTATCTGCTCACCTGCTCCATATTTAGTGCTTATTACAACACAGCTAGCCTCAGCCTTAGGGGAAGCAGATTAAAATGTGTGCTGATCTCACCTGGGGAGACCTCAGCATCTTCCTCATAGGCCAGCCCTTGAGATTGCACAGCTCCACGTCCTCCCAGCCAGGCCCTTTGCTCCCTGAGGAGTGTTTCTCAAACCGTCAGGCTTGGCGACTGAGACTGGTGAGAGAATATTTCCCAGAGGGTAGAGGGGAGGTACTAGGTATCACAGAGCCCTATGCTGGGTGTCGAGGCCAGGGAGGAGTCGGTGAAGAATGTCGTCTCTGCTGCACTCTTCAAAACATACCTGTCCTGGTGGCAATTCTTTAGATCCTGAGAAAGTCTGTCTAACGCAATAGTTTCTGCTAAGGGTCCCCATCTATGGTCTTCCTCTTCTTCTTGGGAAGAGGTGCTTTTTTTGCAGGAAAATTCTAGACATGATGCTCTAACCCCAATAAATGAGGTAGGTGGGATCTCAGCATGCTTGGTCTGGGGAGAGAGGACTCAGTTTGAAACTTCTGGGACTTCTGCTCCCCATCAAGTCACAAGGTGAAGGAAACTGCTCACTTCCTCTAGGTCAAGGCCACCCCAAGCTGGGGAATATATCCCCAGCCTCATGCCAATAGGTCGTGAGAAGTTGCTCCGAGAAGATCCCTCTCTGGAACACTCTGAGAGGAAGGAAGGATGGAGAAGATGGTCTTTATGATTCCTCTCATTGTCAATAGCCTCCGGACTCCAACACCACACTGGGGGATGATCAGAGAATGAGGGCCAGTGGGGTGCTGTGGGGAGACCCAGCTCTTGTGTCAATCCTCACAGTGCATGCCCACAGCTATCCATCACCTTCTGTCTGCAGAGGTAGAGTGGAGATCATCAACTCCACTTTAAGAATGTGGCTGTATCCAGTGACCTTCTCCAAACCATGGCAGTCTCTGTGCTGCCCACCAACCTGGAAGTAGAACCGTGGAAATAGGGATTGCCTTTCAAAGATGAGTCAACTTCTCCCATCACAGCTGAGGGTGGGAAAGTAACGATCGTGCTCATGCACACTCACACACACCAGAAAGCCTGCAAGCTTACCAGGGAACTGGGCCTGAGTACAAGATTCCTACTTTCTCGTAACCTCTGCTATAATACCATGGGAATGGATAAACCCATGACTTTCAAATGATGCTCTATGAACCTTGGGTTCTCTGGGACTGCCTCAGAGATGTTGTGTGATGATGGGACACCTAGGGAATCCCCAGCACCTCCTCCAACTCTAAGACAGTAGCTGTGCAGCTTCTATCAGACCTCATTTGAACTGTAAGGACCCTCCTGGCTCAATGTCTGGTCTCACGATTTCATGTCAGAGATGCTGATGGACCTTCATCACTTAACCTTCACCATCCCCGGCCTCATTCTGGGTATCACTGTTGAGAAATACGCGATATGGACTCTGCCCTCAGTCTCCTAATGAAGATAAAACCACATTTGATCATAAAGGCTGGTGGTTGTCTTTGTGCTTAGTCTCATCTGTGATTTTGTTTGCATTCTGTGAGTAGCCTGAGAGTTTGCCATCCTTAGGGAGTTGGAGCATGGCTGATAGGGAAAAATCCTTTGGTCTATCCTGTGAGGTGGTTGGGGGTAGCACTGGGGGAGATGAGAACAGGAAACCGACAGAAGACCATCCACGTAAGTTTATGAAGACATGGGTATGTCCCAGATCAATGAATGACTTCCCTCTAACTGAGCTGCCACCTCCCCGGGGGCAGCTTTCCTTTGGGAAGTTCCAGGGACTGTCAGTAGCTCATGTGGAGAGGGCTCTGAGCCAGCAGCAGAGAGCCAGCCAGGTTTCACCAGTTACCAGTCAATGCCTTGCAGGTGTAGACTCTGAGATTGTCTAACCTCTCCTCTTAGTTCACCTCCAAGTTAGTAAACCCTAGAAGAATCCTCTCATGACTCAAAATACTCCCCTCAACATGGGTATTGAGAATCTATAGCATCATAATTCCAAGCCTCATTTATATTTCTGTATTCTTTATTCCCTCTGCAGAGCCCCAAGAAAGGATATCTTTACCATCACTCATGGCCCTGTGCCTCTCAGTGTGTCAGATCACACAGACGGTGATGGCATCGGGGTGCAGGCTGCGCTCCTGACAGTTACCAAGAGAATGCATGAGTTTCCCACAGACGTGGCATGTGCCACTAGTGGCCAGGACTGGGTGGGCGAGGGGAAGAAGGAAAGTCTAAGATGGGAATCCAGAATGCACCTGCATTACCCACAGCAGGGAAGCGTGCAGCGTGGGGGTTGACATGGAGCCCCCATGGGACCCATGAAGCATTGTTCACCAGCCTCTGTGGGCCTGACACCAGGCATCAGCAATGGGCAATATGGAAGATTTTTGGTCCCTTCTCCCATTATCCCCCCACCTCCCTTTGCCCTGACTCTAGAGGAGCCAGTGGCAAGACGGCAAAAAAGTAGACGGAAAGAGAAAGATTGGACTCCCCACTCTTGCTCCCCAAGCCATGGGTCAGATTTGAACTGAGGGGAAGGGAGATGTTTTAAATAGGGTGTGAGGTTGAAGTTTTAACTGAAACTGGATTGGTTTGGAAAGTGAGTCCTTATTAATAAAACAAGGCTCTTCCTGAAACCAACAGTGACTCCAAGTCAGTCCAAGAAACAGGGGAAGGAAACTCGGTAGGAGCAAGTTTAAAGACAGCGATTGAAAACACCAGTCATTTCCTGTTTGCATCCCATCGAGTTTGACCCCACTGCGTTATTAGTCAGAGTAACTTACACACGCTGCTCTAATAAACAGCCCCAATGGCTCCGTGGCTTTGCACAGTTACGTTTATTTCTCACTTAAGCGAAGTCTGTGTCAGGCCGCTTTCCTGAATGTCTCTCCTCCACGCCGTTACTCGGGACATGGGTTCCTTCCATCTTGTGGCTTCCCCATCTCATGGCTTGAAGATTATCCTGGGGTCACCCAGACAACAGAAAGGGGACAAATGTTACAGGAAGGCACCCCCGAAACTTATTTACCTCATTCCAGAAGTGCCACATGTACCTTCTGCTCACATTCCTTTGCCTAGAACAAGCCCTTCCTCCCAGGAGCTCTGGATCCAGATGGGTCTTGGTTGTGCATAATCCCATTTAGTCCATTCTTCTCTCTCCCATCCTGGCAGGTTAGAAAAAATGGCATACTGCACTTGTGCTGGGTGACCTTGGGCGAGTCAGTAAGCCCCTCTGGACCTTGGCTCACTACTTGAATAAAAGCGAGAAAGTGCCCGAAGGCCCTGTAGCTAGCTCGGTCTCTAAGATGAGCCCTCTTTTTGGAAGGCCCTTGCCCTGTTCTAATCCCACCTTAATGCAGAACAAAGCACACTGGGCTGTGGAGGGAGAGGGCAGACCAGGCTGTGACCCGGTGGGCTGGTGGAGGCTGCAGAGGCAGCCTGCTCCCCGCCTTCCAGCCAAACTCGCCACTAATGAGGCCTGTCTGTAGAGTAATTAGCCACAATCACCGCGCAGTGCATTAGGCAGACACAGCCTTGGTGCTGTGGAAGCGTCTCCCAGGACGCAGGAGCCCAGGGCTTTGAACACTGCATTAAGGCAGGGGATGCGTCCTAATGTCACTTAATTACCCCAGACAGCCTCAGATGTAATCGAGCCTGGATGGGCTGGTGGAGCGGGTGCAGGCATCCAGAGGAGGCTGATGCGTTTATAATGATGCCACTTTGCAAGACAAATCTGGGTTTGGCAGGTTGAAGATGAGAAGGATGGTTTGTGGGGGGGTGAGGGGAGCGGGAGAGAGGAAGCTGCCCTGGCATCCAGACCAGGGCCCTTCCAATCCTCAAAACCTTAAGAGATCTTGACCCTGGGCTGGCCAGACATCTCTGTGCAACTGCCAGAGACAGCAGGAAATTGAGGGGATGGGTCTTTACGTCTTATCCCCTCACCCAAAAGGCTGTGCTGGCCAGAGTTTTCCTCTTTGTTCTTTGTTTTCTGTGAATGGGGAATAACAGGAATAGTGATGGTGCATAAAGGAGGAAGCATTAGCAGGCGGGAGCTGAAGATGGGTGCTAGAGGGGTCAATGGATATTCTGAAGGCCTGGTAGTGCCCAGGAGGATGCTGTGGACTAGGCTGGGAGAAAGTTCCATGAGCAGATGGAAAATCTCTGAGATGTGTACAAATCTGGACACCGACTCAGACCTGAGAAGGACTCTCAAGATGGTGCCCCTGCCAATTCATGTCCCTCCAGAGGCCAGAGACCCCACGATGCAGGGACCTGGGGCCTCTGAAAAGTCCTCAAATGCAGGGACCTTAACTCTCTTGTTCACCTTACATTGCCAGCACTTAGCACAGCGCTTTGACAAATCTGTGCTGACATGGGCAAGGGAAGGAATGTCCCCAGCCCACTTATCCTCTTGGGCTTGTCATTTCCATCTCTGGACCTCAATGTCCCTATTTGCAGTTGACGGTGCTCAACTCACCTCCCAGGGCTGTGATGGCATGTGTCCAGTGAGCTAATGACACAAACCTGTCCCAGGCCAGACTGATCACCAAACCAGTGAGAAGTCCAGATCTCAGTGGCCAGGGTTAAAATGAAACTGTGATAAGCTTGGCAAAGAGGCCAAGGACTCACTCTCAATCCCTCTCCCTCTCTTAAACCTGACTTGTCAGGACCCCTGGCATCGCTAACTGTAGTGCTTTCAATTATTTCAATGGCTGCCTTGGAAGACAAAGCTCTTTGGAGAGGTGCCCCAAAATAATAAAGGAGAGGAGGAATACTCAGGTGGAGACCTTGCCAGGGAATGTTTTCAGTGTCCCTCTACTCGGCTGAATAGAATGTGCTACTGGAGAGGGTAATTTGGGCACACATCTCCTATAGATTATCAGACAGGTGAACGAGTGGGGCTCAGAAGGCAACCCACCTCTCACAGGGCATTGCTTAGGCTCAGAGGCTGAGGGAGGTGAGCCATGGCTTAGGCTGCAGGTGAGGGAGAAGAGAAGATGCAAACAGACTATCAAGATCTCTAACGCCAGGTAAAGACCAGGACCATAGCTTCCCTGGCCCTCACAGGCAAGGACAGCAATGTGGTGATATATCTGAAGGGTTCTCTTTCTCTTCTTCCTCTCTTAGCTGGCCAAAGACCTTCTCAGAAATCTCTGTCCTTAGCTTGCTGTGAGACTCTGGTGACTTCACTATCCCTCTCTGGATGGTGAGCAGCTGGGTTATATGGTTGTTATAACACTTGTAACCTTGACATCCTATCTGCCTGTCATACAAAGGGGACACTGGCTCTCTCTGGGGTCCCTCTTATGGCACCCCAGAGCCCACTCACTCCCTCACTAGCTGCCCAGCACTCACTGCGACCCACAGTGACATTGAGAGACATGCTGTTCTCTACCTTGCCCAATGGGCCATGTGCCAACACCTGCCTTCTCCCCGTGAGCCATCCATCACTGTCTAAGCATGTCGGTGGGAAAACGGCTTCATTAGCTCCTCCCGAGCCATCCGTCCCCCAGTGTGGAGACAAATGAAGTCCTCTCACCCCCATCAGCCTGGGAGAGCTCAGAAAGGGCGGCCGCTGAAGGGCTGCCCTGACATCTCTGTCCCCCATGTAGTTCTCCCACCTGACGACATAGGCCTCTTCCATAAGGCAGGAAGCTCTGCCCTCCCAGAATGCATCCGACAGCTCCCTCACCTCTTGTCACCATGCCTGAAGTCCTCACCATCTCAGGGGCACTGAGGGCCTGTGGCCTGCACTAGTCTGTTAAAATGGCAGGAGGAGAAGAGCAGAGGACTGGGAGCCAAGACCAAAAATGCTCTTTTGCTGTATGATCTTGGGTGGTCAATGTCTCTTAGCTGGGGAGACACCTCAGTATTCCCATCTTTAAATGAGGGAAGTGGCCTAGAATCTGGTCACTTCCAAGGCCCTAGATCTCTGATAGGAGGTTCCACAGGGACAGTCTGTGGGTCTGATAATGTGCCAGCATGTCTGGGGAAGAGGAAGAACTCCGGCTCCACCAAGCACATGGCTCAGGCTTGACAGGCATGGCCACACCACTTGGCAAACACAGCTCTCCCCATCCCATTTCTTGGAAAATGGACCCATTTTAGAACTTCTAGTTACCAGTCATGACTTCGGGGGCTCTGCCAACAGTGGACAAAAGATGGAGTTGAGGGAACCAGCAGTTGGCGTAATGGCTATGTCACTGGACTCCCACATAGTCGACCGCGGTTTGCGTCCCGGACCCGGTGGTTTAAAACTCACACTGGGCGCGTGTGCGTGCATGCCCAAGATCCCAAGAGGAGAATGGAGGAGAAGGGATTGCGTCGTGGCCATCCCCCCTGGGGGGTGATTTCTCGCTTTCTGTCTCTATGTCTCTCTCTGT